GCTGCTTTTAAAGATTATTTAAAGATTTTTAATGCAGTAAATAGGTGAAAAAAGGTAATAACGACACAAGAGGAGCATTTAACAGTAATATCATAGAGCAGGGGTCACCAATCCTGGTCCTGGAGAGCCGGTGTCCCTGCAGGGTTTAGTTCCAACTTGCCTCAACACACCTGCCTGGATGTTTTAAGTATTCCAAGTAAGAGCTTGATTAGCTTGTTCAGGTGTGTTTGATTAGGGTTGGAGGTAAAATCTGCAGGACACCGGCCCTCCAGGAACAAGTTTGGTGACCACTGTCATAGAGTATTGAGTAATATCAATGAGTAAGATCAGTAAGATGTTTTTGGACATTTCTGTTTGCCCTAATGTAATGTTCAATTTTAACAGCCGATTTTGATCCACTGAATTTATGCAAGCGGATTTTTGATGTGAAATAAAATGAAGTGAAAATTGCCTGTGGAATATTATACTTCGTATTCTTAAACAGAGCTGAATATTTTGATAGTGAAATCTGGAAGTTTGATATGGAGTATTGAATTTATAAGTCTGGAAAAAGTGTTTGGAATATTGTTTGTTGAAATATTCACAGCTTAAATGAACATCAATGTTAAGTTTCAGAACCCTAAAACAAACCCTGGCTATTGAAGTCATTAAAATGCAACCCCTTGTTAACTGAATGTATTATTTTTTTCCAGTTTGTGCTATTCGACAATCTTTAATTCAATACCTTTGGCAATGATTTTCTTCCATACATAATGCAATTCAAAATCATAAATAAATGCAGGATATAAAAACATAAATCACAAAATATGGAAAACTGTTCATTCACAGATGTTTTGTTTTTCCGCTGTAGCTTTAGCTTTCTTTCTGTGAGACAAATTGATTGAGAAATGTGTATTTCTATTTTATAAATTCCCCAAAGCATTCCCAAAACATTCTGGGAACCAAATATTTCTGTATTTTTGTGTAAATAAAGTCATATAAATCTATTTCTTTCACACATATATGATCATAATTAAGTATATTGAGCACAACAGTTAGCCTCCAGAAGCAGAAATCACATTCGATTCATGTATTATGACAATAATCTTTAGCAATCATATGTAAAAGAAAGCCAGACCTGATATTACTCCTATAGTAGACACACTAAATGTATTATTATTATTGTTAATACTTGTGAAACCCTGTAGGGCAAGCGAACAAAAGCAAACATACCGTGATGTCAGCGCATGGTTCTCATTCGGTTATTCTTTGGGAACCAATTTCTAACATTAAAGAAACATTTTTGAAGGTTTTTATAGAACAAAACGAATAAAAATATATGCAGATACAGTAAAGTTAGTTTCATTGATTCATTATTTGTTTAATATTAAGGCAAAACAGTATTTTTAATTCAAAACTAATTATAAAAACCTTTATTTCTAAACTGCAATATGTGTTTTCCTGTGTCATCTTTGACTAATATTTACATTTGTGTGGTGATCTGAAACAATAAAGCCAGGCAAACATGCAGAAAAAATAGAGTAAGGGGTGCAAACACTTTCACATTACTG